CGTTTTTATGAATTGTCGGTAAAGGCCTGCGATTACGTTTATGCATGTGTGTGTTTGTGTGTCTGTGTTTTGTGTGCACGTGTGTTTTATATGTCTGTATGTAGGTGTGGATGTGTGTGAACCTGTGTTACTATAGTTAAGGAAAATTAGTTTACTTCTAGTCATATCGATGGTCGCATATGTATATATATATATATATAGATAGATAGATAGATATGCATACATACATACATATATGCATATATTTTGTATGTATATATAGTATATATATATGTATATATATATATATACATATATATATATATACATATATATATACATATATTATATATATATATATATAAATATATATATAATATATATAATAGCATATTTATATATATATATAATATATATATATAGTATATATACATATATAATATACATTATATAATATACATATATATAATATATACAATAATATTATACATATATATATATACATATATATATATATACATATATATATAGTACATATATATATAATATATATATATAATAATATACATATATATATATATCATATATATATATATACATATATATATAAATACAGTATAATATATGATATATATATATATATATATATNGAGAGAAGAGAGAAGAGAGAAAAGATTAATACCTATCTCCATTTCTAACTCTTCCATATCCTCTCCAACATTTAGCCTATGGATCTTCTTCTAATGGTTCATGAATAAAGCACCCCATGCTGACCTTTCTTCCTTGTAATAACAGCCTTCCCTTCTAATAAGAGAACAGAACTAAACAGACAAGGAAAAAGGAAAAAGCAGGGAAAAAGTAAAAATACTGTGGAGTAAAATACATAAAAAGAAAAGAACAAAACTTACATATACAATAATGATAGAAAAATCAGAGGGTAAAATAAAACATAACATAAAACTTGTTATAGAGTAATATATGCTTACAAACAAGAGGCAAAATCCAAGTAATATAAAGTGCCAATTGAGTTAAACCCTTAACCGCAACTTAAAATACTTGACATTTTCAGTATACTAGTTATTCCTGCAAACTCTTCTTTCTAAGCTACATATTCATCTGGACTAACTCAAGCTGTGAAAAGAAAGAAAGAAAGAAAAAAAAAAAGGAACAAAATGAAAGAAAGAAAGAAAGAAAAAGGGGGGGGGGAGATTTGAAAACAATAGGTGTGTTTTGCCAACGTAATACCTTTATGACGGATTACGTTGACGTTTGTATATGACTAAGATGTTAATTTCCTTTCAGGACCAATTTATAAACATATATAACATTTACACTTATGCTGACAGTAACATTCACTTCAAATGTGCAAACAACCTTACTTATGGCGACTATTTCTATAATCCATTTTGCTCATACCTAGTATATATCTTGCACTATTAAATCAGTTAACTGCCAGTTGTTTCTAATACAACTGCCACAAAATAATACCTAGCTTTCATAACTCATTTTGAGAAAGTGTCTACAAACGCATTCAGCTTTTGCACATCAAAATGTTCTCTGTCATCACTATACTGATCATATTACACCACACCATAAAGAAAAGAATATCAGTTTCAAGGTCCTTAGAATAAAAAAAAAACATCTCAACCCTTTTCTTATATACTGGTACAAGTCAACTTCACATACCTATGAGCTTCACCTCTCTACAAAAAACACTAGGGTCAAAATCTATCTATAACATACTTAATATCTTCCGAAGTCTCAACCTAACAATAAGTATGAAGTATCTTACTCTATATTCCATGCAAATCATAAATCATAAATTACAATCAACTTTTGAAGAAATGAAACAAAACCACACACAAACTCAGATACTTAATATGAAGGAAACCAAATTCATATAAAAGTACCCCAATTCCCTGAATCAGATATCAAACACCAGTAAAAGAATCTATTAACTTTAACAATATTCCTCTTTCTATCTCTAAAGCTTCAAATGTAATATCAGCCTAAAATCAATTCCTGTAATAGGCCAAATATAATAAAAGTACGGTATGCAAGGGAAGTGCTACTATCCATCTATAAAACATTTGTAGCAGTATATTTATAGTAGTAGTATAACATGCATCTCTCTCTAACAAATGCTAACAAGTATCAATTTCAGCTATATTCCTCTCATTTCCATATATTAATCTACTCCTAAAAATAAAGATATTTTGTTATCTGATATCTGTTATCAAGAACAACCTGTTATTGTCTTTACCTGAAAATGTACTTGAGAAAACAGTGACATGTCTTTTAAGGAAATTTTGAAAGATTCTACAAAATATGCCTCTGCCAGATATTCAGAAACAATAGAAGCCAGATTTTCCCCAATCTTCCTAATCATTTCCCAGACTTTCAATCACAGAAATCATACAATTTCAGACCAGTCATCAACTCTGGTTCAGCTCAAGTGTTGTTCCATTACTTCAAATTTAATTAGCACAGAAAACAGAACCTGCCATTAATAAAGAACTGTACCCTAATGCCTACTTGTGTGATAACACGTTCATTCTAATCTGGTGTGCTGATAGGTAACATTTCTTAACACGAGGGAATTACAGAAATGAGGGCAATGACATTCTCTCTCTCCTCTCTCTCTCTCACGTCGCACACACACACACACACACACACACACACACACACACACACACACACACACACACACACATCACATCACACAATCACACACACACACATTCACAATCACACACACACATCACACATCACACACACATTCACACACAATCACACACACACATTCACAATCACACACACACACATTCACCACATTCACACACACACACATTCACAATCACACACACACATTCACAATCACACACACACATTCACAATCACACACACACATTCACAATCACACACACACACAATCAACACACAACACACACACAACACACACATTCACCACACACACACACATTCACAATCACACACACACATTCACAATCACACACACACATTCACAATCACACACACACATTCACAATCACACACACACACACACATATAAAAAAAACACAGACAGACAGACACACACACACACAATATTGTACATAGCATTATAACCATTGCTATTTACACCTTAACCACAAGGACACCTCATTACATCCAAGTGGCTGTGATCTTGGGAGTATATAGAAACATTTCTCTATATATTCTTTAGAAAATTCGTACAAAAGTTCCAAGTTCTCTTCATTACGATTACCTGAACTACAAGGCTGAACAATGTAAAGAGGAAATGAATGTAGTTTGATATGTCTTACACAGACAGCTGTATGAGCTTCTGATTTCGAGCTTTATTTTTTTTTCTATTTCATTCACCAGAAACACAGATATGGCCAGTCACCTCGGTTTTCAGCCCAACAGAAGAGTTATAAAAATAAATAAAATTCTACACATCATCGTAGCCTTAAATAGCGGAGATCCATGCTGTTCTAAAATGCCCACCAGCAAGTATTCAACAGCAAAATATCTGTTTCTTAGTATTATATAAACTTCATTTATTTATCTGCTCTCTTCATTTCCTTTAATTATTACCAAATGCAGTCATGACTTGATCTCTTAAGTAATTACAGGACTAGCTACCTTGTCAAAAAATATATTGAGACAGCGTCAAGCACCCCAATGGTAATAATCACAGAACAAAATCATCTGTGGAAACTCTTCCTTTGTTGTTTGAACCAATGAGAAATGGCCTTGGGCTGTCTGTTTCCATCCTTGGGAGCTAATTGTTTGGAAGAGAACCATATGTTGACACAGAAAAATTGTGCCTTTTAAAGCAAATAATATAACAATCCTTCTATTAATCTGCACAAGTATAAAACAGTATAATCACCTATCAAAAAAAGGCACATTCTAAACTATGTTGTATTCTACTCTAATTTCTTCCGCTCTATAAGATGACAGTGTCGATTTCCTTCTATCTACGCATGTCGCTCTCTTTAACTTATACCTAATATATCTAATAAAGAAAACAATATCAAAACATGGCTTGAATAAATTTCTCATAAAAACTCAATAACGTAAAACGTTTCAATTAGAGAATCTACATTGGAAATCAATCCGTACAATCCTCCTGAAGCAACTAATTTTCTCGTGGAAA